TAATAATTTCATGTCGAGAAATTATGTGCACAAAACACGAGACAAGGCATCATATCATAAAGTTTTTCTTAAACTGGTCAGAAACGTCATTGACCACAGTGCAATTCAAGAAAGTGGAGCCAACGAAGGACGGTGTGGCAAATCCGATTCCATGCAAATGCATAATGGTGTCGAACTTCAAACTTCCAAAAGTGATGCACTCTTGACAAAGTGACTCTGATTATCAGACAAAGTCTGTATCAGTCTCCAAGATATAGACTCGACGAAGATTTGACTGTAGAAGAACTGCAGGCAGTATGCTTCTACAAGGCGCGAAACAAGACATCTACTTTAGGAACACATGTCATTAAGTGAACGACTCCGACACTACGCACACCAACGTCGTAAAATGACATGAAATATGTTGATGTAAATTGCATGCGTATGTACTTCTAGTGTAGGTAGACTCGATATCTGCACTCGCATGTATTCATGCAGTACACAGATCTCTGAGCTCAGCAATGGTGTGTCAGTTTCAAGAGTGTTTCTGGCATCAGTTTCGAGTCCAGTCCAACATGGATACAGCTATTAATAATACTAGCGCTGCTTTATGAAAGACTTTCTCACATAGCATGCTTAAGAGTTTCTTGTTTGTACATGATCAGTGACCCTTGAGACATTTCGATCCATGGTCTGCTATTATTGCTCGAATCATCGTATGCAAGTTTACATAATTTAGTTCGAATCATATTATGCCTGTACTTGGAACTCATCAACGTCACCTGCTTTTTCGGTCAATCATTTTGTGTATCTTGTTTACATGCAAATTTCTGGAAAGTACGTGATTCACGTATACATTTGACTTTTATAGATGATTAACGCAATATTCGTACGCGAATTCCCTGATTTTGTCTTTGTTGGTGCATTTAATAACTTGGGGTACAGAAATCAATCACCTCAAAGCAAGTTCTTCAGAGAAGTCACTGGATCTTATAACTCGTGGAAGCTACGAGACTGCATGCGGTTTACTTTAAGATCGCTGATTGTTGGAACCTGAGGTATATCAAGACAATCGTTCAATGAAAATCGTTGGTACCGCACTTGAGGTTTGCAAACATCAGATGATGAAATTAGACGCCTGCGAGCTTGAACACCAACCGGGCGTCGAGAATTTCCTTCACATGCATGTGCAGAAGTCTGACCTTGTTCGTAAGCAAGCTGTGCACGCAGATGAAGAGCCTAAAGCTTCAGAGGATTGATCTGCAGCGTGGTGTCCATGATCAGAACGACACTGCTGCAAGATGTCCACAAGCCCCCTCGGACTTCTCTTGCATACAGAATGAAACCTTGATCAACCTTTCGTCTTTGGGAATACTCAGGAGTTTATAGTACTTGTTGAAGTGCAGCGTGATGCGACTTGAATCAGAAATAGTTTCGCATTGGTATATGGCTTCGTGATATGAATTTTAGACAAATTTAGCATGCTTCTGATGACTCTGCAGTTAACATGCAAGTGTGATTGATCAGAAGAAACATATCTCAAAAGTTACGCTAGTTACTAACGTGAATTCATTTCGATTTGATCACTTCCAGATATAATCTGATTATGTGCAATATAGGACGTTGATGATATTGTATTTGATCATCCGAAATTCAACTTGTAGCACAGGAGCTAAGTAATATTCTGATACATATGAAAGTATTTCATGGGCAGAAAACATTTGTATAAAAAAGTTTTAAAGGCATTGTAACTCGCCATCGAATGTGGTGCAGAGAGTCATAAAACTGGAAGGAATCATAAGTACAAAATAATAAATACTAAGTTATGAACTTTTGCAATATCGACTTCATTAGGGACATTTGGAAACAAGAATTCATAACAGTGAGAACTCTTTCTCATATGGAAATAGTGAGAGGGAGACGATATTAGGGTACAGGATAAAATAGTACTTTGTACATATCAGTACGTCGAGAATACCTCTACTTTGAATATTACATTGAAAAATATTAGATTTTGTTCATCACTGTTACAGCGTTATCGGTATCTGAGTTTCTCCTGCATTCTCTCAATCTCATGGAAGAAACATGCAAACTTTGAAGCCCAAAGTCACAAACGTACCATTACAATACTTGTTATATATATTGTCAAATCCGGTCCATACCTGAGCACAAGATACGCCCAATAATACCCGGTAATAACATACTTATAATTCATCTTTAGTTTCTTAATGTCAGCGCATCTACGATAAGGTAGAATGTTCCTAGGTTCTAGTACCATGTATACATTTGTCTCTTATCTTCTACCACAAAGAGTAAGGATTAAGGAAGGAATTGCAACTTATCTACAAGTATTTCATATTCAAATCACTATCTTCATGGTTTCGATACTAGAAGGTTCAACCTAAATTTTACTGTTACTTTTGTTCACATGCAAGGATATGTTATTCAGTTGATTCCAAACAATTTGAAATATGTTCATAGACAATACGAAATCGTAGGCGACCGACCTAGGATACTCTAGTGCGGGGGAAGGCAAACTTGTTGATATTGTTCAAAACTCAACATAGAAATTATCCTGGTTTGAATATAATCTCTGTCAAATTGTTCATTTGGCTGCAATGTAAGACATTGGAACCCAATTGTATATATAAATGAATTAATGATATAATAATATATGATAATAAAAAATATGACCTTTTATAAAGTCACATCTCACAAACTCCATGTGAGACTACTAGGACCAAGAAAATGAACTGCATGAAGCTGAAGAGTTACACTGCCAGACTTCGTTGGTCAGTGTGAGTTACTTGCAACCAACAGCAGATATTCAAGTCCTTGTCAATGAGTGTTTTGCTAACAACTCGCCTGGATAACAATGACTTCCATATTCCTTTTTGTAGATGGTCTAACAGACATACACAGACAAGGATTTCCAAGTCTCTCTATTCCGCCGCTCAAGATTAACGTCACAACTTGTAGTGGTTAACTATTGTATCCCTGGCTTTTGACAAAGATTTTACTGGCTTTTAAAGAGATTGAATGAACGAAATTGTTACTCAGATAGAAAGACGAGAGACAATTTCAAACAAAGGAAAAGTTCTCATACAAGTTTTAGAAGAAGAAATGTCTTGGACTTCTGCAGATAAGTCGCTTGTCAACTACGAAGCAGGAAGAAACTTGAGTTTCTACTTTAATTACTGATTTAGAAGTTCTCTAAGAACATCCTACACCTTCCAGAAAAAAATGAAAAATCAAATTTACTGTAGAGCCAAGGAGATCAAAGTGATATAAAAGAAGAGTGACAGAGAAGAATCCTTGTGTTGAGCAACTCCAATGCTTAACAGAATTCAAGGAAATGCAAGCCTTACTATTCAGAGTTCTAGGCTGATAGACCGCCATCATCGCAAGACATCCAACAGTCTTCTCTTCAATGGAGATGAAAAAGGGGAAGGAAGAGCCTTCCACAACAAGGTCCCTACTGTGTCTTTGGAACCCACATTCGAGTTATTATTGATCAATTGAGGCATTGCGTCTTTGCTGCGTGATGGGTGGAATGAAAAGTTACGTACATGTTCATGCGGGTGTTGATCCTTTTGCTTCCAGGAGAACATCCAACGCATGGAAGTGATTTATCACAAGCCTTATGGGAATGTGGGCTGCAGACTCCACTGTTCGTCTGCAAACCATGGATTAGGTGTACCCCGCGTGAGAGATACATGCGAGCCTGCAGCTTGCTCGAGAAAGAGAATCCTTTTGATATTATGATTGGCTCATCTCTTTAATATTATTTCATTAAGTTTAGGTCTGAGGTACAACTTTCAGCTCCCCGGAAATGAGATATTTCAGACGACTTTTCCTCATCCAACATATTGAAATTGAAAGCACGTCCTCATCCGAACACTGCATGCGTAGCAATGCGCTGCAGAAGAGCCCATATTCATGGTCATGGTTATCATTACTGTACGTACAACCACCTGTCGTCTCCATAAACTTCACTTGAACGAGTGGGCCAGCTTCTGGACTTTTTCATCACTTCCTCTCTTTCGATCCAAACTTTCCATTGCAGTTCCATTGCCAAACCAACCGAGGATAATAGTGTTCATCGGCGATGGCCACATTGCATTATATGAACTCAGAGGAGGTAACAAGTGCCAATGAAGCCGATTGGGATGTGGTTAAGGGAATATTTGTCTCTTGTATCATGCTTGAATCATGCTTTTGATGAGTTACCAAGTGCCAATGAAGGCTATTAGGATGTGCTTAAGGGTTTATTTGTCCCTCGTATCATGCTTATATCATGCTTTTGTTGACTTACCAAGTGCCAATGAAGGCTATTAGGATGTGGTTAAGAGTTTATTTGTCTCTTGTATCATGCTTTCGTTGAAGATACTGAATAGGAACTTCGATAATACAACCACTCTTGAGGCTTCAGCTATTTCGCGGTCGTATTCGCTAGTTTCGTGGTACCGTTGTCCTTTCCTTTGTTTTTGTGGGCGTTGAAGGCCATTCATCCATCGCAAGACTCGTCTCCAATCTAGAATCTTACATGTCTTCTGATACTCTTGCTTTATTAAGCTTACTATAACCGCTTTTCCTATGTCCGCTGGACAGCTTGTACTACAGCTGTCGTCATGCTTAGCTTAGCTACGACTCTGTAGTTCAAATAGAATTCCATTAGAATTTTGTTTGCTCAACCTCCTAAGCGAGGATCCTCGTCATTTTATGGTTGGTGACACTACAGATCTCACCTTATGATTCAAACTCTGCATTTGAGAGCATGTGTCAACAGAGATGAGCCCATTGATGTGATGGTGTTTGTGAATGAAGCCATTACAGAGGACATCCAAAGGGCCTCCTGTCAGGTCCTTAGTCCGAACTGTTACAAATACGATTATCTGTTTCTCTGATCGTGTACACACATGATACTTATTACAAAGGAGGAAGTCCTTACACGCCGACAAGACTTAATTGGTGGAACAAACAAAGATTATACTCAATCTAGTACCAACTGTTTTGTAACGGTGACTTGCAGACCCACAATTCCTGCATTCCTTCTGTTTCACTGCTTCACCCACTTAAATCTCTCTCTGACTCTCTGAGTGTTCTTCATCCTGCTAACTATTCGTGTCCACTTCTCAAACCTTCTACAGAAAGCCAGGATATCACGTAGGGAAATTCATGATCAAACACATTGCAGTACGTCCACGCAACGAACAGCAGTACCAATGCGAGATCTCTTGGTATGAACATTTTAGCAAGCGTTAGAGATCCGTGCAGATCAGAGAAGGAACCTTCGAAGGTTCGCCCCTCCAGAGTTTCAATAAAGTCATTCTTCAGATATTGCTCCTCTTCCTATTCAAGAGACCGACAGCCGAGTGATGGTCTTTGTAGGTTGCAGCCGTATCATGAATTTCGAGACAATTTATTGATTATTGAACAGAGTGAATCAACGCATATCGCTGTCTCTTCGGCTCATATCGTAGGAAAGTGAGTGCCCAGATATGTCATGAAAGTTTAGGCATTATTTATTACAGAGTATAAATGGATTGAGCAGTGCATTGAACACACGGAGCTGTGCATGTCTCTCCCCTGTACAATCAGCAGGTAAATTTTCATGAGCTCTCGAGTTCATGACACTGAAACGGAGCTCCCGGCAATCTCTCCACGAGGCATACAAATGAAGCAACTGTCAAGAATAAAATCACAATCTCTGAGAAGAATCCCTGCAGAAGCATTGCATATTGGCATAATCAGCTGTAACTGGGGAGATGGAACAGATCATCCATCATATGGTCGGTCTATCGACATATCTTCTTAAAAAATCACAGAAGAAACTTATCTGCTTTGAAGGGCGGGCGGATTTTGGCAGTGGTGATGGTTGGGCGAAGCTGTGACATACGTTACGAATACTCCAGGGTTCGCTTTTGCACTGTTGCTCTGATACCCCGAGGGTCAGGATCAACTCAACTCAGACGACAGCAACTTGGAACCCAGCAGCAAGTCGGTGACTTAGAATCAGAGTCACGTAAGAGCCTAATCGTGATACGAACGGTAGACCTAGAGTACGTTACGGAGACTGATTCATGACGACTGCGCATTGTGAACAGGAATAGCATGGCCGGTGGTTGCGACCTGACGCGATAAATTTTATCGGATTTCTTACAATCAATCAGCTGTATCGGTTTCCATTACCCTAAAGTGTTACTGTAATATCCCCATGCATCAGCGCGTAAAGATTCGGGGCCTTGGGCGAGTTCCGGTGCCATACGATCTTCGAGGAAGCGCATTCTTCTCGAAGATTCAAGAACCACCTGCGGGATATGGGGAGTTATTCCAGCGAGAGACTGAAACAACTATCTGATCATAATGGCTTCAAATTGCTGTAGATGAGATCCTTGTGGGAGGCGGGTGAGACTGCGCCGTAAGATGCGACTGCGGTCGTGACAGCATTCGTCAAGTCGAGCGATCTGCATGTCCAAAGCGCTGAATACGGCACAGGAATTGGATCTGATTAATAAGGCCGAAGAAGCTTCAAATCATCGAGCGCTTCGGTTCTGATGACGTGAGTAAGCATTTGGCCCTGAGGCAGACAGACAGACAAACAGACAGCTGTAGATTATCAGCTTCCATGGCGTGAATGTTCCAAAGCTGGACCAGACCGTCTTCCTCATTCACATCGAATTGCGTCTTCTTCACCGGAGATGACATGCCGAACGAGTCCCGAAGAGGCGAGAGTCTTCTGCTGTTGGACCTGAGAGAGGAGTCGTCTCTTCTGGCAAATCAAATCATGAACCTCGTTCGCAGTCGGGCCAACGACTCGGTGAACATCGGAGCTAAAGTTAAGGCCGGATCTGATTCGACCTTGGCGCAAGACACAAGACTCTGTATTTATCTTCTTTTGACGCAATGGGCGCAGACAGAGAAAGAGAGGTGCAGATGTTCTGCATTACGTGCAGATCCACATTAAGGCGTTCACATTCAAATGCACTGTTTACTCTCGCAGTCCTTGACTCCGGGGCTGGTCCACGCCATGTTTCTTGGAGGACACTAAATTCAGAATGCAATGACTTTTGCACAGTATCTACGACCTACTTTGAGTGATTCACGGATAACAATATCGAGCAGAATTTACCGACAAGGAAGTTGACAAGAATAGCGAATCTACTGACTTCCTCCAAGGTTTGGGTGTTCAGTAGCCCGTCTCGTTCGTGGGTCCTGAGCCTCAGAAGGGAAGTTGACAACTTTCCAAGTTTTAAAGTTCCGACTAGAAGCAAGAAATGTATTGCAAAAAGGATGGAAGACCCATCGAGACCCACATGCATGTAACCAACTGACCAACATGGGTCCAGGCCCCAACATATGGAGTGACCCAACTAAGAATATGTCAAATCATCCACATATTTGATACCATCTAAAAAATCGTTCCTGTCCGTTGTATCATATGGAATACACCAACTAGTATCTCTCATAGAGCAATGAATTCGTTTTACATAAAAAGGTCTATACTATATTAATAAAAATGGTATATGATCAGCATGTCAACTTGTTGTTAGTAATCCGTATAAGTCCAATCTCCGTGAGAAGTAAGAGTCCGTCATTATAAAATATAAACTTGAAATTTGTGAACTCAAATGCTTGAACGCAGACGGAGAAAGAGAGGTGCAGATATTCAACATCTTAGATATTTCAATATAATCTCCTACACAAGTTGGTCCATGAAAGTTTGATGGTGCGTTTCCATTAAAAACGAGAAACTTAGCAATGTAATAAGACGAAATGGTTTTGTTCGTGCTGAATTCAATTCCTCTAGTAGTATTTTCTTGATAATGACTAGGTGCAAAAAGCGAGAAGAGAAAAAAGTCTAAAGTCTATTTGAAAAGATTCATCATAGATGAATTTTGAGTTTTAAAGTTTAGGACTATCTAGTATGCTCCAAGGTCTGACAAAGTTGCGATCAAGACAAACCTTAATAAGCTATAGCTGAAGGTCACACTCTCCGTATGTATGGTCTCAATGTATTCATCTTACAAATTAGGATTTAAAATCCTCAATACCTGAAAGCCACCCCTCTGGGATAGCACCATTCCCAATCATATTAGGTAGACGCTATTTCCGAAGATAAAAAACAAAATTCAATCTACATTATTCGAACTATGTACAAATGGGACCCAAGACAAAATCTGAAGAGAACTTTACATTCTCTTTGAACAATATATATACCAATAAAGTGTGAAAAAATCATTCAGTTACATCTACTCTTTGCTGTACCTGTCTCTTCCCCCAAACCATTGAACTTAGAAGCCCTCGAATCGATTCCATGCTGCGAAAAAGGAGGAGATAAATTGTTTCCCGTCGCCATGTTTCATACGGCTGGGAATAGAAGCTCACGTTTGGTCCGTGTCGATTACTTCTCCTTGAAGCCGTGCACTCCCAAATATCATTGCAAATATCTCCTCGGTCGTTTGCAGGGTGGAGACTCGATGGGAACCTAGTTGAGAATATTATAAATTGATCTGAATCTTGAATGGATGAAGGGGCACCACGATCAATCTGGCTTGGAAGGTAGCAAGATAGCCACAGGAGGTTGTCGAGTTGGCACAACACTCATTCCCAAATCTCTTCACCGTGAGCTATTGTGCTCGGAGGAAATTGAGGTGGACATTTATGGATACACGTCTGTCCACCATTGCTACACACTTGAATCAAAATTACCGTTGAATGACTGGAAATTGCGTCGTTTCGAACGAACTTCATCCGTCTACTCAACTCAACCTTTTAGCTACCACCACCTTTTAGCCCATCATTAATGTCGATCACCTCGTAGGGAGATGGACTCGTCGTGCACCTCACTTCTATGTGGGTTTAAAAGCCGGGGAAAGACAAAATCAGCTAAAGTGATCGCTTTACATTCAGCCCAAAATATATTATAGAATTATAAATAAACCTTTACAAATCTCCAACTCCGAAGTACGATGGAGAGTCGGTTAGTTCGAGCATCTGGCGAGCTTTGGGGTTCATTGATACGATAGTTTCACGTGCTTTCGTTAGATCCGTTAGAGAAACAATCAGGAGTAAAATTCATAATGTCAGTCGATGGAATTTGCTCTTGGGGGCCACATCGAGCCTTAGCACTTTCAGTACGAGTAAATACACGATTGCGAAAAGCAATTCCAGATGAGAATGAATCAGAAAATGCCAATTGGATATGGCACACGTGTCCACAACAGACAGCTCCGTCACACCCAAAGTCCAAGTCGCAACGAGATGTGACATAAAGAGATCGAAAGGGGCCATCCGAACGAAAAAGGTCGTCAAAAGGTTTTCAGACAGCGGCAGCCCGATCTTTCTGAAAATAGAAATCAGTCAGAGCGAAGAATTTCATCAAGAGCAGGGGCCACTCTCGAACATCATCAGGCCAGACGCTGCGCTCCAATTCGAGGACGGGCAGCGAGCGAAAGATTCCGACTTCCACGAAGAAATTTTGCGGAGGCTTTTGGAGGTTAGGGCAGCCGGTTTTTAAGGGCGGGAGGGGGTGGGGGGGCCTTCCAAGCGAGGAGCGAGGCGGAGGACTTTTGCCATGACAAACCGACCCGTACGGACAGAGGCTTCGAGGTAAAGCTTTTGTCCTTGCGACGAGAAAAGCAAAAGCAGAGAGAGCTCGGAGGGAAGGACGTAATTGAGCGAGGGTTTTACAAATGTAGGACCCAAGTGGACAAAAGGACAACTCAACTTGCCAGTGGGACCCAGGTTCTGCGACCTGGTACCACCTGCGTCGCGGACACGCTCAAGGAACACTGCCCTGCCCTGCGCTGCCCTGCCCCGCCCCTCCCCGCCCCTCCTCTACCACCACCGTCGTCCCTTCTCTCCCTCCCTCCCTCCCTCCCTCCTCCGTCCTACAACAACTCCTCCTGCTCCCTGTAGACTCTCCTTCCAGCTCGTACAGTACAGTACAGTAATAGCTCCCCCGCCCAGCACGAACCAACCCGCCCCCTCGTCCCTCCCCCTGCAACCTCGTACCAGCGGCCCTGAACGACGGACGGTCCCCACAATAAGGACCGAGCACGAGACCCCGGCCTACACTCGTACGGCCTACGTCGTCGTTGTATGCAAAGCCCACCACCGAAAAAATATACAACGCAGTAGAAAAGACTCGAATCCACCGTCGTCGTGGTTGTCGTCGTCGGCCACAGTTCGGGTCCGAAGGGAGCTCCAGTTGACGACTACGACGTAGAAGTGGCGAGCGTAGTAGACGGAGGAGGAGGAGGAGGAGGAGGACGGGGAGGAGTAGTTGAGAGAAGGGAGCGACGGCATGGGAGTGAGGAGCAGCAGCGATGGCATGGCGAGATCGGGGAGTGGTTGAGCAGCAGTCACACAAAGGGCTCGAGATGGAGATGGAGATGGACAGGGAGGAGGAATGCGAAATGCGGGAATAATAATCAGCGGTGCGGCAGTCGGGGGAGGAGGAGGAGGAGGAACTGCAGCAGCAGCAGCAGCAGCGGCGCAGTGCGGTTCGGGAATCCGCTGGAGCTGTAGTGGAGGAGAAGCGAATGAGTGAGGGAGGGAGGGAGGGAGCAGCGGGAGGAGGGGAGGGGGGAGGGGGGAGGGGGAGGGGACGATTCGGTGCGGTTATCGAGTGACGCTTGGAATGTGTTGTCCTGTTGCAGGGAGTATTTTTGGGCCAGTTTATTGGAGCCGAGGCGAGCGCCGAGAGCGGATGGGTGGTGGTGATGAGTGAGGAATTATTTTTCTTTTTCTCTTTTCCTCAGTCACTGGTGGCAATCTTGCATCGTCACTTTTGCCATTGGTCGGTAGAATTGAGCGCGCAACACGTCATGCATTGGGATTGAGGTCTTCATCTTAAGACTCGTCCGTCATGCTGTGTTCTTGAGCATAATTGACAATTAAGTGCTGGGCACAGCTTAGGGAGGGTGGCGTAGAGTGGAACACGGGGGAGAACCGGGCACTAGTAGCTCAGTACCTGCCAGAAAGAAAAACACAGCGACTGAAAGACAGACAGACACACAAACAAACAGACAGTGTATGTGCGATGGACTGAGCGAGGGAGAGTGAGGAAGAAGCTGGGTCAGTCACAGAGATAGATACAGAGAGAGAGAGAGAGGGGGGAGAGAGAGAGAGAAGAAATATGTCGCATGCTCATGTAGTTGGAGAGGAGGAAGAAGCTTGGGCAGAGGATGATCAACCTGTGAGCTGATGTGATCCACGGCGAAGCTCGAGAGAATTGGGATCGGTCAGAATTTGTGCATGAGTAGACTGTGAGCTATCCGTGCTGGTTGGTGAATTGAATGAATGCTGGATGGGAGTGTTTTTTGCTCCTCATGGAATCGGAGAGCTGCTGGAGATCGATCTTGGTTAGGCCGCGTTGAGCTCGAGGCGACCTTTGAAGGTGATGGAAGCGGCTGGGTCAGTGTTCGGAAGGGATGACAGAGCTGGTGTGTCTCTTAGACGGCGGTCGTGGGGATTATCCTCAACGGCCAGGAATGTTCACCTTTTTTATTCCTGGAAATTGCACGATGATCTGTAGAACCTAGGGATAATGACCAGTGAACGAGGAGGAGACAGAGTTGAGAGATTTTAGCTATGGAGAACGTCAATGGTGGTGGCATCAACATTGGTTCATATGGCACAAGCACCGGTAACGAGTATTCTCTCACCGATTACAAGGTGGGGAAGACTATTGGCCTTGGTTCGTTCGGCAAAGTGAAGATGGCAGAGCATAGTCTCACGGGTCAAAAGGTGGCTATCAAAATACTTCATCGCAGGAAGATCAAGGAACAAAACATGGACGAAAGAGGTACACAAGTTCCCTTGCGTTCATCACCTCCTGCCATCTACCCTGTGATTATAGGTGCCTAGGAAGTTGGAACTAGAACCCTGTCAGTAATTTTGTCTACTCTGAACCTTTTGGACCCCCTATATTTACGTAAGATCAGCGACGTCTTATGTGCAAATTTGCTCCCGGCTTTGATGGACCCCACCCTTGTACCAGGTTCTTACATCGTGGTATATCATTTTACCGTTGAATTAGGGTGGGCTCTGAATATAGATTTCCCCTGTCAGTTGGCGGTCTCTTACGTACGAATTGAATTACTGTTTGTGAATCATCTTCTGTTGATACGTGGCTGATGGGGGGGAAATAGACGTGTTTGTCGAATGTGGTTTTATATTCATACACGCACAAAGTGGATCGAAAGTGCCACTGACAGTATTTTCTGTTCAGCTCACTGGTTTATGCTGATATCTAGTCAGCATAAATGTATATTGCTTTTTGGTCACATGTGTCTACATTTAAACGCGCACATAGGCCCAGAACCTGTTCTGCATGGAAAAGTTCGATGTTGTCGAAATTTTGACGATCAATTTGAGGCCTTTCGTCGTCTCCAGACTCGTGAGATAGAATCAAACCAGATTAAAATTCAGCCCTTTAATACTTTTTAATGTCTTAGGGCTGAATTTTGCAGCCGGTAATCATTCTTCCATGTGATGAATTGGTTGCTCACATGGGTTTTGACGGATTACAGTGAAACGGGAGATAAATATACTGCGCTTGATCATGCATCCCCACATCATTCGCCTCTACGAAGTCATTGAAACGCCAACTCATATCTTCCTTGTCCTGGAGTATTTGAAATCTGGGGAACTCTTCGATTACATTATTGAAAAGGGTCGTCTTCCTGAAGGTGAAGCTCGGAGGCTTTTTCAACAGGTAAGTTCAAAGCTTCGTGTCGAAGTAAGAAAGTACTTTGGTAATAAGTCATCAGTTTTGCTCATCCATCTGTCTCGCATTAACCATCCTTTACTTGTCTCCACTTGACGATCAGTTTGAAAAGGAGATACCACATCTACTTCACCTTCAAATTGTAATGTCAAAAAGTTTGTATAAGGAGTTCAGTTTTCGCGACAACTCGTTTTTCCACTCGTACCAGTTGTGCTCTGTATGTTAGGTGCATTGCAAAGCAATGCACAGATACTGAGTTTTATGACTCTTGGGGAACAGATTCTCTCGGGTGTGGAGTATTGCCATAGCAACATGGTTGTGCACAGGGACTTGAAGCCAGAAAACCTCTTGCTGGATTCAACATGGAATGTAAAGATTGCTGATTTTGGACTCAGCAATATCATGCGTGACGGCCATTTTTTGAACACCAGCTGTGGAAGTCCAAATTATGCTGCTCCTGAAGTATAGCTCTTGCTCAAATATCCAGTGGAACTTGCGTAGCTCTGTGCTTTAAAGCTCAGATTGCATCTGCGGTATTCAGTAAGCGCTGTGTTCCTGACATTCATGATGCATCTGTAACAAACAAACGTTATTAATTATGCCAAACATGGAACGGCAAACGTTTTGATTTTCGCATTTTAATTCAGGGTCACGTAGGATTTTGACCTCTTACTTCTGAATACTCACGTCGAAGCATCGGAAATCATCTGCACTGTCCATCAAACAGGTGATATCAGGCAAGCTCTATGCAGGGCCAGAGGTCGACGTATGGAGCTGTGGTGTCATACTGTATGCACTTTTGTGTGGAACTTTGCCCTATGACGACGAGAATATCCCCACACTGTTTCGAAAAATCAAGGTAAATTAGAGTACGAAAGGTCTTGACAAGCGTTCGGAATTGAGTCTGAATCATGGACACTAGTCTCCATGCTTGCTTGACATTAATGCTTAGTGATCTGCTCTCGTGTCTTTCGTAACATTGAAAGTTCTCTCATTTTCTAATTTGACTAATTAACTAACGGATGCTCATGTTGTATGGAATATGTTTCAGGGTGGGATCTACACTCTTCCAAGTTATCTCTCAACTGGAGCTAAGGATCTTATCTCCCGCATGTTGTTAGTCGACCCCGTGAAACGAATTACCATTCCAGAAGTTCGACAGCACTCATGGTTTCAAACCAATCTACGATGTTGTCTTAATGGTTCACAGGGTGTTATGGCCCAGCATATAAATTGCGTAAGATCATGGACCTCTAACCATGTGTTGCATAACCGAGCAGCTTGCTTGCTCTCCTTCTTTCGGAGTAGTTGTTTTCCTTATGAATCATTTGAAGGTTTTGACACCTTTTGTTAATGTTGACTTTTAGTATGATTATAGTGATCACCAAAAACTAATGGATACTCGAGATCAGTTGGATACAAACTATGATTAATTGAGTACATTAGGAAGCACGGATATTCACTTGAGCGCTTTGAAGACTGATCTTTCATGAAACACTGAAGGGGACAAAAAAGAAATTTCCTAGTTTTAAGAACACATTATGAGCTCTGCATGGACTATTGATGCTTAACCCTTACTAGCACCACTGAAAAGATTCCTATTGTTACAGATTGACGAAGACATTGTTAAAGAGGTGGTAAGCTTAGGATTCCAAAAACATCAAGTCAAGGACGCATTGAGGAGGAGAGTGACAAGCAAGGTATGACTGACTATCACATTTCCAATGTTCAAGATTTGATCAGATTTTGTTAGTTTTCATTGAGATACATAAAGCTCAAACAGTGATCTTCAGGATTGCTCAACAGTGATGGAAAGTACAGAAGTACCTGATATTGCTCATTCTCAGATATATGTGTGTCTATATGTGAACTTTGTATCTATGTGTGTTCGGCCTCTTCGCTTATTCTACGACGCATGTGAAGGTAGATAAGTTCTTGAGTAATCAGAAACATCGTTTTCAATTGATGAATGAACGATTGTCATCTTCATGAATAGTCTTCACTAAGCTCATGACTGGCTGAACTGTTTAATGCAGGCAACTGTAACTTACTATCTCCTTCTAGACAACAGACGATGTAGTTCAAATGGGCGACCTAGAGATCAAAATGATGACGACAAGGTGAGTTCAGAAGAATACTAATCCGAGTATCTTTTTCTCTGCTCATAAGCAGGTCTAAAACGTCAGATTCTATGTTGAAGTGTAGTTCTGTCAGGAAGGTTGAGTGGTAGAGTTTAATTCTATCTTGTGTATTTAAGTGTTGTCTTCAGTACTTATAAATTGTAAATTACACTCGACCTTTTATTCTGAAGTTCGTCAACGACAAGATACGTATGGTTAAAACATGACCACCAGAGAAACAATTTTGGTTTCTATGTTCAGACTTTCCCGTGTCCTAACAAAATCAAATATGCATGTTAGCAGGAAACATCTGTAAATACAGGTAGTGTTGTCAGAGCAGGGTTACCTCTTCGATGCATACATGCAGAGGGCCTGTCAACAGGAGGTCAGAGCTGGGTATTGGGATTCAAGGTACGTTCAAGTTGAAAGCTCATCAAGGTTATAATTATGCCAGTAATATCTATACATATCTTCAGTTCAGTGAGGAGGAACTGGATTGCCTACAAAGCTATTGTCTGCCTTATCATCACAAAAAATTCTCTCATAATCCACATGGATGCTGAATGATGTGCAGACCCCAACGACTCCCAGAGATATTATGACATTCATGCTAAAGAGCTTTCAAGAACTAGATGTACACTGGAAGAAGATGGGACCGTATACAGTCAAAGGTAGATGGAATACGTCACTGTTTAGGTGTTCCACCGCAACAATGAGGTCTGTTGACAACGGGTACAAGCCTCCATTGATTATGAATGGGGCAGGTTCACATTGTAACGGAAATGCTTCAATCGACGAAAGACAGGAACTTATTGTCAACTTTGAAACACAGGTACATATTGCATGCCTCTTCCAGAAAACCTAGAGTTTTGTACTATCTCTTATCTGTTGGGGTAACTATATCTACTCACGTAGTGTCATATTTCAATTATATCATTTGTTTCAATCATTTTTCATTGTGCTCTTGTTTTATCCTAGTGCAGCGTGATTGCCAAATTACTTGGTTACTGAAAACAAACTCCAGCTAAACTAGCTCATCTTTTAGGAACTCGTTCATTTTCTTACAAGTTTCCCACCAAATTTTTTTGCGACAGGACCTCGTTCGCGCATTTTGGCCCATTACTCAGACGATTCTTTTATTATTTTGTGTCATTCCCCTTTTTTTACCTCTTCTTCTCTTATCCTGTTGTTGCATTCATTTACAGACAATCTTCTCAAAACCCACATAGAGGCCTTTCGCCACAATTCTACCCTTCTTTTAAGCTTGGTTTATTCGTATTGTACAATTACTGATTGTCTAGAATGTTGATTTATCTATAAAAACAATGCATAGATTGTTGACCTTTCTGGGATTGGCATTTTTAAGTTCCTTCTTATTCCTGTCTTGGTGTGCAGCTTTATCTGACGAAGGATGACAATTACCTTCTCGATCTACAATACCTTCATGGACCCGACATGGTTTTTTTGGAATTCTGTTATGAATTTCAGAGAAAAATCTGGTCTGCTGGAATTTAATCATCACTGAGGACGTTTATTCTCCTAAAGGTGCGGATAAATATCTAACCTTGTCGGGCAAGTATGATGAATTCATATAGCAATAAGGTGATCAAGAGGTTGTACGTGAGTTCCACGTATTTTGTTCCTAGTCTGAGATACGTTCCTTCATCTAAGTTTCAACACCACACAAATCTTTCTAGCACTTTTCTTTAAAAATGCACATAGATCTTGATTATGTATTCTTTGTTGATCAGGAGAGCCTCAACAATTTTGCTTGGAGATAAGGTTGCCTCCGGCGTGATGACTGTTGACAATACTGTTGGAAGGCATTTGAGGTTCTTGCATTCGCACAAATGGTTTTTGGAACAACCACCATTTTAATATCAAGGGCTTAGGGTATTGAACTCGGTTGCCAAGTGTGAAGGTTGCTTAGAATCATAGCATTTTGCAGTGGTCCACTAATAGCAGAGAGTGCGTCTTGGATTTACACCGAATCTGCTGAGAATTTACTGGTTGTAGCTTTGACCAGTCCTTGCCTATGCCCTTTCACTTGTAGACAATTCCATATCAGCTAATGTCTAACGTTGAAGGTCTAATGCAATAGAAGCTTTTGTAGAAGGTGATACATGTAGAATATAATCAGGTTTGTGGGTTAGTGAGACTGTGCTTCTACTGGTCGATTCAGATTTTCCCAGCTGTGGCAGAGCGGACATATTTGATATTTAACCGAAGTATCTGCCCAAGCAGTCCTTCAGAAAACAAACTTTGAATATGACGAAGACGATACCGATAGATCTCCAACAAAGGCAGTTACCTATGAACGGTTTAAGGATTGCTAACAGCACAACCGATATACCTGTGAAGTTTATGAGAAGATTCAATTGGGGACACTAGAATTGATCGAAGTCAGCAATTTGATCGAAAGCTAAGAGTAAGTAGAGAGCTAATGTTTTACCATGAGCCCACCAATGTCATGATAAATAAAATAAAAACGCGTGATATTTGCATTAAAAACACTGAGAAGAAGTGAAGGAGGAGAGAACAACTAGGGTACTCAATGTGCCTACTCTTAAATGTAGGTGTAGATGAACAACAATCGTGGTTCATCTGAATGTTTGACATGAACCCATTGTCAGGAAGTCTGTCTATATTGTACTTAGCCAACCGCTGTGACGTGGTTCAATGTAACTTGAAAGAGACATTGGGAAGATCCTAACTCTTTTTTCTTTTCTATGTTATGTCAGGTCCCTACAGTTAACCAAGCACAAATAGGTGAATGGCAAACCAACCTTCCATCACGTCCGAATTTTAGAACCTCGATTTTAGATTCTTATGAGCATCTATCTTCTCGGGATCCAATTATACACATTCTCAAACCATTTGCTCGTGGAACTGTGAGAAGCCGAAATGAGATCTCCGTCCGATGATGTGTCGAAACGAGAGACGATTTAACATAAACGTGTCTTCAACCAAGCAGCAGTATAACCCTAGTCGACCTTCAGTACACAGCTTATGTTTATTCATGCTATTCAGGATATGTCCGATGAAGTGACGCAACAAAAGATTCTCTAACGTAAAAGTGTCTTTAACCACGCAGCATAATAATCCAAGTCGCCCTTCAGTACAAATCTGATGTACATTCACAGTATTCAAGATATATGGCTATCAACATAATACGTAACCATGCATTTTACTAAAACAGTTCGTCTACCAATTTACTATCCAAATCATTCAACGATTATTTGGACAATCGTTTCGGAAAGAATATTTTTCCTTTAGAAATTAAAAATAATAATCAATCTGAGATTGTGTTCACTTCATATGTCAGTTCTTTGGAATCATTAAATTGTCATCGTGATTCTCGGAAAATTGAAACACTCCGCACACAATCTTTGGACGTGGGACATTGCATACAACCTTCTTCGAGTCTCACATCGGTGACTTTGGTAACAAGCTCTTTCTTGTACATCCTCAGACTCGGTTGATGTTGAGTTCCGTCCCTTTCTTATTGCAAGTGATTGCATTCTATTTATTTTTCATATGGGTCCAAGTGACACTCTCCTTCACATGGATATCTGATCTTCTCTAGATGAAACTATATATGAATATATTTTATACAAGAATTGTATCTCAAAAAAATTTCTATCTACAAATCTTGTGACTTTTTGTGCACAACATCTGCATGCTCAAACGCTTCGTTGGACCTTATTCAAACCTTTAATACTTATCAGACATGCATATCATTGTCTCTCCTCTTTGACTACTTCAGTCTCATGTGTTCCGCGTGTGCATAACCAACTTACTTTTATGATCTTTGATAGTAGTGGTTTTCAAGTCAAGCAGGCAACTAGTTATTAAGAAAATGTTCAACTTCATGTACAAACCTTAAAAGTAGACGTCAAGTCAAAGCAGAGCGTTGTCTAGGCCTTTGTTACATTGAAAGCTAGTCAAGAGAAGCTGAAAAGTCGAACCTAAGGTTTGGAACCAAACCAATCCTGCCTTTGACAGACGGAATATGTGTGAAGGTCTACACAGACTTTTATGAATCCAATTAGAGCACCAATTAGTCGACAATGACATCTTCAAGGGAGTTCTATAGGTTCCAAAAGGATAAACTGAAATGATATCACCAAGATGTTGCCATGTGCTAACGAGCAAATGAGTTGACACATAAGTATTTTCAAATTGTTGATTTCATAATCTGATGTATTTTGAATCATCAAAAAGAAAATTTTCATTTAAATGAGCTGTTTTCAGGTTTAAGTTTTTGTAGTTTGTATGGGTTGCATTGATGTTAAAATGCATTTTGGTGCTTAAGCACAAATTGTTTTTTTTTTTCTTGAAAAGAAATTGTTGCTCACTTAATTTAACGTTTCATAAAAATCTCAATTTAAGATATCCAATTTTTCATTTTATTCAAACGTGATTTAAACAGAGATTTTGTTAATCAGAATCGGAAGTAATCTATGATTCTCTTGCACTAAGTGATTCATGGCAATCCTGTCAATCTCACAAGCAATGACTTTTTTGGGGAGTTTGGCAGCTCCGATCCATCATCGGTAATTTGTAGTCGACGGACTCGAGCGCGTTGGGATTGCTCGGCATTTCCAAATTTAAATTAAAGGCGTGCCTTGACTGACTATGTCTAAAGTAACAACCCGTCCTTCGTTCGTTGTGTGCGTTTGTACAAAACGTGAGTATTTTATGAGTCTGTACATGCTTGCTGCTGCTGCACGTACATAATACTATATATATTATCCAACAATTCGAGACCTTAGATCCTCTGAGACCTTACCTGTTTATGCTAAGAATTTAATTCTGAAAGTTGTTTGATACCTGAGATATTTATGTGTTGGTGCTTCCTGCAGATGGAATCAGGAAGGTCAAACTCCAATTATTATCTTTCACCTACATGTTTCAAAATAGCAGTCTCGTTCGAGATTCGAGGGCGAGTTGAGGCAATGTTGCAGATCTAGAGGATTAGTCAATGGACTTTCGCATTCTTCCTCTGCATGGACATGACGTAAAGTCGAGTACGACCACATCACACCTTTTTGTAGTGGTAGCCAGCGATGAAACTTTATTGAGTGCACATAGGTCGAAGGAACGCTCCAGTGATTTACTGCTGTGTGTCGGCCAAATCCAATACTAGATCAGAGTTATAGAATCACCGACATCGAGACCCAGACAACTGAACTACGACGTAGAGGTGCACGAATCTAGGATCTTTTAAAGCCTTGAAACAATCTGGATCATATCACTCATGCCGGTGAGACGTTGATATGTGTCGAGGTCTCACCAGCGTGTATGATCTGATGCAGAATGTTTCGAGGTATCTAGAGATGCGGACGTGGACTAAGATTGTTGCACCATTTCCCATGAGATGAGCCTAGCTATTACAGCGACTTTATAATTACTACTTGCTACCCTGAGAACAACTTACTGATATATGTGGCTGAGAAGACCCTGAATTCATTGCTGGATAGGTATACAAGTCTATGAGAAGGAAGTGCAGGGATACGTGGGTGGCCTCGAAGGACTGCTTGTCGGACGTAATTCAACCAGCTTGAATCTTTGTACAATTTATTGATGTTGAGGATTTTTATCTCTACACTTTTGTACAATTTATTAATGTTGAGGATTTTTATCTCTACACTTTCGAACTGACGGGTACGGAACTGTTCAGATTCACGACCTCGAAGTTCCTGACGTTGATTGAGATAATTTGTAGGATGGATGTGCCCAATTCAATTCCTCATTACATACTCTGGCTGACTTGAGACCATAAAACTTATCTCGATCTGTACAGACCATTCGACGTGTAGATCACCAACATAATATATATATATATATATATATATATATGGATGGAATACAAGCACTTCAACCAATTTAGTGTATGGCCGAGATCATATAGATGTTCGCATAGATTTATCGTTAGGAGTTCAAGCAAAATCTTGTCTACTTATGCTTTCTCATAAACATTTCTTATCTCCAGCTACAGGAGAACCTATGAAACAAACCTGCGTGTGCATATTTGTTTCATATTACCATTATATCATTTTCCTGGGTCCTGACAGGACCCAGGAAAATGAAAAGGAAAGCCATTGGAAATGTGTTTCATCAGTGTTACACATCATGAGTCAAAGGAAACGTTTAGCATTATGTACGTGCAAAATAGAATGTACAATCCTGACGAAGGGAACGAATCTCGTTTCTGATTTTACTTTGTTCATTTCTGCATGTTGATCGTCAAGATATTGCATTTTACCTACAGCCCCTTCCTGAACTTGGCCGAAGTGGAGTTAAATCTTTCCCAAGCAAAAACAGGAAAAGTTTAATGTTATGCTCAGGTAAGACATAATATCCACATGCTATAAAACCAACCGCTACTTATCTTCTTCAGGTCTCTCAATGATCTCGTTTGATGACGAAGAGCTAGAATAGCTTGGTAGGACAGTCTTGAGAATTTTGTCCGCGTCTCAGGCTCGGCACATATCAGAGTAGCTCCTGGTGTGTGACGTGACAGGGACCCGGATGTGGAAGCAAGGCAGCGCGCAGGGACATGGAATGCCTGTGCCAGTAATGTCTGAGACGGAACTTCGCTCAAAACAGACAAATATGATGATGTGTTATCGCGTGAGTGTGTGATTGGTTTTCGACATGAGATTGGGCAGACTCTGTGCATTCCATTTCTTGATACTGTGCAATTCTCGTCTTGCGCATAACATATGGAGTGGAACACGAGGTTTGGAAACTTCAAGATGTGGAAAAGCTGGTTAACTGCTTTCACATTCTATCCTGCTTTATCCTCGTCATCATTTGTGATAATTAATTTTCCGACTTGTTGACCAAGTCTACCAGCAATAAGATGAAATTATAGCATTTTTTTATCATGAGTAAAACATTCTCTCCACTAAGTCGAAACACTTGTCTTCTTATACGAGCTAATTTTGGTACATTGCCTATCTCATCTCTCGTAAATTGATCTTTTCCCCTTACATTTGAGGTGGAAATATTTATAATCCACATGATTGTGGTTTCCTGCTCGATCACTGCTGATGAGCCCTGAGTCGGCGCGATTGTACTTCAAAGAATCCGACCTGAAGGAAGTAACGAACGGGGAGGTAAAGAGGCAGCATGCAACCATGACTGATATCGAGACACATGGTACGTATCCGACTCTCTCTTGCAAGACCGGGACATCAGTCACCAATTATCCGACATACTACGCTCGCCATTAGTATCCTACAACCTCACCTCTCCGACTAGTCTGACTTTAATGCAATACCTGAGATCTGGCTGTCTTGTAATATGGTATATGTTTAGGTATTTTCATAAGAAGTTCATGACCAATATAGTTGAATCCTGGGATTTATCTACTGAATATGTGATCAAAGATAACTCGCCTACTTCTGTTTTGGATGAGAACAAAGCTGAATGAAATGCTATTCCAGCTGAACGGCTGAATCCAGTCTTACTACAGTACTGATTCATCATTGATGACCCGCTGCATTAAGACTCAAATCACTTGAGATAATCCTACAGAGGCTTGTTTGAACAGGCTCACTGCCAGCCTAGACCTCTGGATATGCATTCAGGCTCACGATCTGTTGGTATTATCCTCTATAAGAGATTTCATATAAAATACAATATTGCACACAGACCAGTGCCCTATCTGAGCGTCACATGATTTGAGTC